CTGTCAAAGTATTTATTTTTCGTAGTTTGAGGAGTTAATTTTGTTTTTTTAGGGTATGCGATTTTATGACTCTGAGGTAAATTAAAATGTTACATTTTCCAATTTATATTTTTAGCGATTCTTCATGCAATCATATCATTGCAAAGGTATCATTATTAAAATGTCATCAAAACATCTCTCATATTTGAATGAAATTACTAACTCCTTTATCTATAGATGTTAAATTCAAGCTGGTTTTTAATTCATACCAGTATTGCCCGAGTGGCGCAGAGGTTAGAACATCTGCTCTAGGGTTGTAAAGTTAGGAGTTGATCCCCTTACGTCTCTGGTTCGAATCTTTCGGATTAGGGCATTTAAACCGAGGTCCCGTGTCACAGCAGGTATTTGCACAAAAAGATCCCTCACTGTTCAATGGCGATGAGTGTGGAGCAGGCGCGGATCTAGAACTTTTTTTTTAAAAAGTGGGGTGGGTTGAAGAGGAAAAGAGTTATTATAATGTACTTTTTACATATAGATCTACATGGACTTAAATAACTCAATAGGATACAGGGATTACCTGAAAATTTGTTAAAAAAGAAAGAAAAATAGATCTCCGAAAACGAGAATCCTATTTTACGGGGTGGGGTTTCATTTTGTTTTCACATTTTTTTTTATATTTTACAACGTTAGCCTTTCACTGAATATTTTCTATTGTAAAAATACAATAAAAACTTTCTTCTTTCTCTCTATCTTTTTTTTGCAAATCAAAAGGGGGTTGCAACCCCCATAACCCCCACCCCTGGATCCACCACTAGTGTGGAGTATAGGACAGAATTTACAACTTTCCACTGGCAAATGGTGGCATCTTTGTATGAACAAAAAATTCTCAAGGGGAAGTTAAACAACAAACAAAAATTCTGGTATTATCGATGTGTATCATCACTATCATGATGTTTGTTTTGTCCTTGTTTGCTTTAGGTTGTACACCACCTTCTGTTTGCAATTGCCTGGCCTTAGCGCAAGGACACTTCCTTATTCAAGCTAGGATTGATTGATTGATTGTATATTGTTTAACGTCCCTCTTGAGAATTTTTCACTCATATGGAGACGTCACCGTATGCCGGTGAAGGGCTTCAAATTTAGACCTATACTCGGCACTCAGGGCCATTGAGCAGTGAGGGTTCTTTATCGTGCCAGCGCCTACCGTGACACGGGACCTATGTTTTTAAGGTCATATCCGAAAGACCCGTGACTTTCACTTCTGATGCCGAGCGCTTGGCGAAGGAACAGTCACTACCTATTTTTACGTCTTAGGTTTGACGCGGCGCCGCGAACGAGAATCGAACCCGGGCCTCCCGATCACGAAGCGAACGCTCTACCACTAGGCTACCGTGAACGGTTTCAAGCTAGGATGTTGTTTCTTTGATGCAATTATCTATCTTAAAATAAGTTTTCCCACTTTCGTTGTGCAATGATGCCCCACAACCACTCCCTAGGTAGTAGGTTTATAAAACATCATCATACACCCATGTAGCTGGTTATAAACAAAGCCCTGATCGCGATGATCTTGTAAACATGACGTCATATTGGTAAAAATGACGTATTTCATGTGCTGTAAGAGGCAGATTGAGGAAATTTTTAACAATGAAAAATACATTTCATTATAAAACGGAATATTATTTACAGGTTTTAGAAAATCGATTAATACCAATGTATATCACGTATATGAATTAAATATGTACATAAAAAGCGAATTCTATTCAAAGCAGCAGCACTTTTTAGAAACTACAAAGTATGCAGAAGCAATTAATAGCTTGAATTTTTATTTCAACGAGAGTATGCCCTTTTGATATTGAAATTTGTTAATGACCTACATTCAGTACACGAAATATGCATTCATCACGTGAATGTCTATCGATAAGACTAAACTTCATACAGTACAGTTTGGTTTATACTATGCTTTTTCCATAAGTATTAATAAAAGCTCTGTGATAATGAAACTGCTTAATCAAAATAAATTCAGTTTTTAAAAAATCCCCCTTTTTTTGCAGGTCTATTTTCCGTTGATTTCTCTTAGTAAGCCTTAACAGTGCTGCGAAACTGATTGCAGAAGATATCTTTTTAATCGATCAATTTGTAAAGATTTTCCATTAAATTTTGTTTGATTTTTGACAAACATGTAAATAGGCTGTTGCTAAAAAAGATGCAGGGTTCGACATTCTTTGTAGATATTCTGACTTCTACTTTTATTTTGAAAAAATTAAGCCACTAAAACATGGTTTTCTCGCGGACTGGTTCTTACATTGTAACAAATACGAGGGTTGATCCAAAAGTAATGTCACAGTGTCCATATCTTTTATATTTGGCGTCATATTATCAAATACAATATACCAAAAGATGCACAAATATAAATCTAATTAACATTGAAATTTTAATTTGATAATGTTTATTTGAATTTATTTTATAGATGTTTGAAACATAGAGTATAGGGGTTGTCACCGCGTCACAACGGAACGTCATGTTTTTAAGTGTATTTTTTCTTAGAATTAAAAAGACAAACACATTAAAGATCCTAAAAAAGCACCTAATCTCTCATTTTTTTTCTCAAAAAAACACAATCCTTGTCATTTTCTAGTCTTTTAATGAAAATTAAATGACGGTATTGGTTTTTGTGATCATAAACATTGTTGTTTTACACTGTTGAAATGAAGAAAGGGATTGTCGAAATGGGGAAAAAAGGCTCGACGTTTTGTAATGCATTTTTTTCAAAATACGGGAATCATCACTGGCGACATTTCCGTTAATCAATCAGACTTACAGAATAAAGAATGAAAAGAGACATCTAAATAGATGGTTTCAGCAATTTTAGGAGGGTGATTGGTCACTGAATGATTAGCAGAGGACAAGACCGAACGATACGAAATCGGACAGAGACGTTGTCAAAAAAGACAGTCGGAAAGAGTGACATGTGACTTTTTATGCGCCCGAATCGATAGATCCGAGGCGTATATTGTTTTTGTCCTGTCTGTCTGTCTGTCTGTTTGTTTGTTTGTTTGTTTCGCCATCACTTTTGAACCATGAAAGGTAGAAACTTCATATTTGGTATGCATACTTCACTAATTAGGTGCTTTCAAATGACACCAATATTAATGACCATGTAACATTGAATGTGACCTATATGCTAAAAATAGCTTTTCTGTCTGCAAACTTTAACCTTCGCCATAACTTTTGAACTATGAAAGATAGAGACTTCATATTTAGTATGCATACTACACTAATAAAGTTCTTTCAAATGACACCAAGGTCAATGACCTAGTGACCTTGACTGTGACCTGTATGCTAAAAATAGCTTTTTCGTACCTTTCACCATAACCTTTGAACCATATAAAAAATAGAGACTTCATATTTGGTGTGAATAATCCACTCATCAAGTCCTTTCAAATGACAACAAGGTCAATGACCTTGTGACCTTGAATGTTACCTATGCTTGTATGTTAAAAATAGCATTTTGGATTTTTATTGCCGCCTGGCGCATTGTGTTTCACAAACACATCTTGTTAAGTTTGTCTTATGCTACTGTTCAAAAAAAAAAGACAGAGGGCTTAATTATGAAAAGAGTGAGTGTATAATGGTACCAAAAATTCTTAAAGAAAGTGGAATTGGTGAAAGTGTTTGCGAATCACACATATTTTTAATGAAACGAAGGGGAAACGCTTAAAAGTATGACGGTTCGTATCCGTCATATGACGTTATATTTAGGTGCGGCGACTGCCATAAATGCGCATTGTTTAAAATCCGATATTTTCAAAAGTATACATCATATTCCTTTGAATTTTTTAGGCCTGATTTGAAATAAATAAAGCTTCCATCATGTATAATTTTGTTGCTTAACGTCGAATCATAGCAATTTTATCAAAGTTGTGACATTACTTTTGGATCAAACCTCGTATTTTTCAATAAACATTGTTTTAAACGTTAAATTATGGGAGGTGCTGTTTGTTAGTCATCGCCTATACTGTGCACTTGCACTGTCATTTTTTGAATGTGTAGAATTATTGCTTAGATAACTATAGTATATAGGGGCTTTAATACAATATATGCTGTAAGTTTAAAATCTCTTTTCATTTTAAATTCACATACATTTTTGAAGTTTTTTATTGATTATGTTAAAATTTACCACTTAAGATTCCCTCTTATTAAACGTCGCCTATCTAGGTGATATTGCACGTGGGGATATCATTTTGATGAATTATAAAAGAAACATGTTTATTTAAAGCCCATTGCATTGTATAAATATATAATCTAATAAATTATTTTCCTATTTTTCAAACTTTTCACTTTCAGCTTCCAAAAAATCATAAATGGGAAATTATCTAGTCCTAAAACACAACGTAGAAGGACGGGAAGAAAGGGCCCCATTCGGGGTCATAATTTATCTGGTGAACATAACAGGCGTCATTGGGAATGCGTTGGTGATACACATCTTTCGAACACGCTTGACTACGTCAGCAAATTACAGAATATTTGTTCTTTTGCTGGCTTTCGTCGATCTTTTTCTCTGTATCCCACATATAGCAAAAGAACTCAGTAGAATGATCTTAGTATACAACCAGATTTCCGACAGGGTAGGATTCATTTGCAAGATATCCCACTATATTGGTCATTCAATCGGACATTCTTCGCTTTATATTGTTGTATTTATTGGTTTTGAGAGATACAGAAAAATATGCACACCTTTCAAACCCCAAATTACAATGAAGCACACGAAAATCATGTGCATAGTTGTTATAGTTATAAGCTTTGTTACGTCATTTCCGGTTTATCTGTTTCATGGCCCAAGATTTGTTCTCGTGGAAAACATAAATGCAACAAGATGCGCTGTCAAAAATGAATTTGATGGAAATTTATTGCAGTTTATTTATTATGCCTTCTTCTTCGTAGAATCTCTAGTAGGTTTAGTAAGCTTAGCAATACTTCAAGTAACTATCTTAAAAGCTCTTGCAAAAAAAGTCAAATCCAAAATGAACATGAGGTCAATGGCAAAAGTAAACGAAAACGAGAAAAGGGCAAACGAGACCACCAAAGATTCGGCAGAACAACAAGAAGCCGAGAAGAACAGGAGAATAGCCCGTACATTCGCCATTGTTACGCTTTTCCTGGTGATTAGTTTCCTCACCACAACGCTCTACCAGTCGTACAAAGCCACCAGTAGATTCTTTGGGTCAAAACAGAGGATATCTAAAGTGGAGGACGTGATAGACGAATATCTACCAGACGTCATCACCTTTAGCGGCATTCTGAATCCCTTTGTTTACTTTTTTTACTGATAATCAGTTCAATCAAGAGTTGAAAAAACTATGTGGTCGAAAAGATAACTAGACAATTTTTTGGTATTTTTTGCGTTTTTGTAACGATAAATTTGCAGGAATTAACCTTTTTGTATTCAGAGATTATTTTGCATACGATTTAGTATCCGTAAAACAGCTTATGAATGAGACATGACCTATAGAAGAACTTTATGTCCGGCAAAAAGAAAAGACAATCATTGAAGGTGCTGTTGTTTGTTCACGCTTTTTAGCTGATATTTTCCGATTAAAAATTTCTTGTTGTGAACGTTGCATTTTAATGTAAAAGAGTATATTTTTCCCTTTGTCTTAGTGCATTTAGTAAAATTAAATTGTTTAATTTCATCAAGGATTTTTTTTACACTGAATCAAATGCTATAATTGAAACTACGTTGCGAGTGGGAAATAAACAAGTTTTTCTGGTCGATATACGTACGTCTTTTAAATCAGAGTATGACTGTTGTTACATTTTATTCCAAAATGGATTTTCAAATTTTCATACTGATGCAAATACGCATGTTTTATTTTTCTTGTAATATTATCTGTACGTTAAGCATAATGCATTTGTTTCTTTTAGTAGTGTTCTGCTTTTTCCTCTAAATTGATAAAGTATAGTAAAATAATTATGATAATTTAGTACTGGTGTTTCTTTTGACAGAAATTCCATATCTAACGCTCAGGTGTCACGATTTGAACATACTTAAAACTTTACAACATTAGGATGCTTCCTCAAAAGTTTCATACATTCAAGCAGAATTGTTCTTCAGAAGAAATTTTTTTAAAAGATGCCATAATTTTTCATAATTTAAGCAATTATCTACCCTTGGAAGAAGTCGTGGTCCTTTGTTTGAACAAACTAGAATCCTCTTTTTAAAAAATATTTTGCGTCAAGTTTGGTTGAAATTTGTCCAGTGGTTCGTAAGAAGATAAAAATGCGCAAAGTTTTCAACATCGAAGACAACAGGCAATGGGAACGATCAGATTATTCCACTTGAGCTCTGTTGAGCTTATAAATTTTTTTTCTATACAAAATTTGAATTGCACAGTAACTACAAGCAATGAAAGGCGCACACACTTAAATTTACTTATTTTTCAAATTTTTGCTGTCAGAGGAAAAAAATTTTTAACATGAAGATTCGATTTTACTCATTATTCAATTAAAATTGTACATTTCAAGATAGAATGAATTTAGATACTCCAGACAACACATTTTGGCATTATGATTATCAGCTGCAGAACTCGTGATATACTAGAGAGCAACAAATCCAAGCATTTTAAAATTCTCCGACTGGACCCACCTTTTGTCATTCGTGTCTGGTTTTATTTCTTCAATTTGATACATTCTCCCGCGTCATACGTGTTATCCATCAATGAACCATACATTTACTCCTATGCTTAAAATGTATACTCTACTTACCTTTCAAGGCATCAAAACGGCTCTATCTGGTATTGGAATACCAGTTTCAAACTGTTTAGAGTCGTGCTAGAGAACTCTTAAATAACATGTACTTGTAGAGAAAATGGAAATGAAACTTCTGAAGGTTCAAATATCGTGTGTATTGTCTATAAAGAATACAATATGTATGTATAAAAATGACAATTTGTGGGTAATATTTATGTATGACATCCAACTTTGACGTATGAATGTTGTTTTTTAAACTGATCTTCCAAGACCACATAGGGCCTTGGGAACCGTTGAGAGGTAAATAAATCTTCAGATATAGGAGTAAAATATATGGATAATTAACAAACACCAGACTTGAAGCGGAAGAATACATAAAATACTAGAGCAAAGCTCGTTGCAAAGCAACGAGTAGGTCTTCCATCCTGTTTGACCGGAAGTAGCTTTCATTTTTAACAAAAATGAGAAATAACGCCCAAAATGCTTTGAATCCTCTAGAGCTATTGAATCCCACATATCATTTGAAAGATCTTTTAATTCTGCACAAATTATGTTCTATATATTTTAACAAAATATTTTTAGTTTAGAAGATAAGAAGCAAAATATGAATAATTTTTGGTTCTTTTAAGCGTTCTAATTTTTTGACCCCTATATAGCGCCATTTTGAATAGAGAAATCGAAAAACAAAATCCAATGTGCACAACTTCAATCCTTCTATTATCTAAAATCAGTAGAATTTCTGTTCCAGCTTTAGACGTCTCTGAGCCTTCGTCTGGAAACGAAAGCCTATAAATTTTCGTTTAAAGGGAAATAACTCAAAACCGGAAGTGACTTTTTGAAATTTTAGTCAACATTCTGATAGAGTTTGAAAACGTCTATAATCTGTGAAAATTTGAGCGAAATCCGTTGAGAAATGAGTGAGATATGAGGCCTCAAAGTTGCGGTCTAGGAAGCAGAAGAAAAAAAAAAGAATAATAATCTTTACCAACAAAATCAGTAGAAGGTCTTCCGTTGGAAACGGAAGACCTTAACAAGAAGTAATTCTAAAAGCCAGCAAGCAAACAGAGACGGCGTAAAGAAGATTTTTATTTCTCAACCAAAGAACTTCACCTCTGCAACTCCATAAAACAACTTTTTCTTCAACCAAAATAGACCTCGGAAAAAAAATCATTATCCTGTAGTTTCTCAATAAAATACATTTTAAATTATGATCAAAGTCGCCCGCGAGGTGCATTGGTTAGAAAATTTGTCCAAGAGTCACGGAGTAAGGCGTTGATCCTTACGTCGCAGGTTCGAATCAGATGCCCGGCATGGAGATCAGTACTTATGATAACGTATACACTGTGGTCCCGTGTTGCAGGAGGTGGTGGCACGAAAAAGATCCTTTACTGCATAGTGACCCTTAGTGCTTAGCAAAGGTTATTTTTTTCAGTCCTCCACCTGCAAGTTGTGACGACTCTATATGAGTGGAAAATTCTGGAGAGGGACGTCACGATAAACAAAATGCAAACAAACAAAAACTTTAAACTAAAGAGTTTGTTTAAACCTTATATATTTTTCATTATCACGAAAAGGTATATTAAGAATGTAGAATCTCACAAGCAAAGGAAACGGATTTTGTGTTCAAATTCTTTAGAACAAATAATTCTACGCCAGTTCATTGATGAAATATCAAAAACTACATGAAACTAAATTCATTTTCAGCTCAAATTAAAGATGAAGAAATAGATGACGATATACATTAACGAGATCACACACTGCTGTAGCTCATTTCAGTGACTTTATATTGGTGTGAAAAAGCTTCAAATGCAAGGATCTGCCATTCATAAAAAGAGCAATGTACCTAATGAGCGTCAGCAAACTTGTAATGAGTTTTGTCTCTAGTCTTTATGCTGCTCAATGTAAGTGTCATCTCAAACGCCTGAGCATTATGACAATGACCGGTAGAAGGTTTTGTACTACAAATATTGGAAAAAGACTCGATCATGTTTTTATCACTGATCTGTTTTTCCCTCAAAAATACCTCGTTGAAATCCCAAATTTTCCTTAACAAGATAACTCAGTCATTCAGATAACTGAAAGGTAACTGAAAATCTACTTAATGGTGACTGAATGGAAGAACTTTTGAAAAAGTCACTTTCCAGACATTTCACTGATTATCCAGATGTCTGAAGGATGTAGTTTTATATCATGCTTCTTTTTATTCATCGGCAAGCTGACTTTTGTTGCTCTCGCGGCCTCGTAGAAAGAGCGCTCGCTTTAAGCTCGCTTTAAAGAGAGTCAAAGAGTAAGTAGTTGATTCTTAAGTCAGGAATTTAAATCCTACTTCGGGACGGCGAGTTTGTACATTAGATGAGACCGTGTAAATCGAGATCATCTGTCGGAATAGGTTTTTGCATGAAAAAGATCCATCAAATTGACCAAGACATCCAAGAATCAGAGTCGTTTATTAAGGTGATGGTAAATGGAACTTGGTGTAATTTACTGTTAAACTCTGGGGCAACTCTTTCTATTTTATTACATCAGCTGTATGATAAAATAAACAAAACCGGGAAAACTTCACTTTCACCTCTTACTGTGCAAGGGAAAGGATTATTCTATATCAAACCCTGTTCTCAAGAATTTGAAACCCAGGCAGTAATAGCTAACATTAAAGCAGATGGTATTATTTGATTATATTTCTTACAAACAAACCAAATTGAATGTCTTGTCGACGTTTGTAAGACCAAGATGCATATTCATTCGGTGATAAAAAGCGCTTTGTGCTTAAAATGGTTTGATTCAATGAGAGAAAGCTTGTTCTACATACGAACAATTTGTAAAACGAGACATTCGCAAATAATTTGATATTTACAATATACCCTTAAGAAGAATGTGGAGTGACTTTTTCGTTTTATTATACCATTATATTAACACTGAAATATATTTGTATTTTTCCGTTTATCCGATCATGACAAGGAGCAAAGCGGTAGTGACCAATCGATAGGGATGTTTACTCTGTCATGGCACCTGATCCCACGTCTGTTTTATAGGCCATGCAGTGTTTGCTGTAATTCCAAAATGTGTTGTTCCAATGAACTACTCAGTTTGATTACTGTTCGTTATCTTTCATAGAAGAACGTTGATCAACATTTAAATACAATGCCTATATCACTTGATATTTTAGACACAAAGTCTTCTGAATCATAAAAACATAAATAGAACATATCAAATACAATATAAGAATTTTAGAAATGTCAAATTTGAACATAATAGGGCTTTTAAAACTGAAACGAATCGAATAGACACGAATGAAAATGAATTAAGATTCATCAATGTAATCCATCAATTCAGCAAACATATGAGAATAGTTGCAAAAAGATTCGATTTTTTGACGCAGCACAATCAGAAAAACCTTATATATCTTTATTTACCTTTTGAGCTTTCATTTATTTCCAATAAATCAAAATTTAAATCATTGAAAAATTTCCTTTTAAGAAAATGTATGCCTTGAAAAGTTTATTTTATCTTAACATGATCAGGTATAGGTTTTGCTTTTTTGTGGGCATTTCAGGTAAGATATTGATGTTTACTTGTTTTGATCTAGTTTATAGACTTTTTTTCTTTTTGGTTGTGTGCTTTATTAATAAGCTGATACTAATCAGGTTTTATTTTGCGACTAGCAATACATTTTTTGAAACTTTAATGTCATTTATTTTATGCACTGTAATGAAGGATTTGGAGATAACGAACAGTACTCAATCTCAAAGTCCATAAAACAATACAAAATAAGAACAGAGCAAACACGGATCCCCGAAACATCAGAGATGGAATCAGGTGCCATGGAGGAGTGAGCATCCCCTGCCGACCGGTCACACCCGCCGTGTGCTCCTTGTCATGATCAGGGAATAACGGAAAAAATCCGTCGTCAATTCAGTGTATAAATAATGGACTAACAATTGGTATTAAAAACGTCAGTCATCATTTGACTTAATGATAAATTGTATTTGCTGACAAGGTCATTGTATCGACCATAGAACTTACGAAATGGTGACTTTAAACGAGACTGCTGATATTCTTGTTTAATCAACTTGCTTGTCAAAAATTTACCTCGTTTTAGAAATAGTTCATACGTAGAGCATGCTCTTGCGTATCGAAGCAACTGAGATATATATACTCCGTATGCAGGTGATAAAGGTGTATTGCTGCATAAGTAATGGAAGTTGACGATAGAAAAGTTAAAGTCATCACGTTTATCATATAGCTTTGTTGTTAGATTACCATTAGTGTCTTTTTCAAGTAAAATATCCAAGTATGAAACGAAAGTTGAGTTAGGTACACGTAGGTATACGAGGGGTTATCAAAAAGTTCATGGACTGAGGCTATAAAATTAGTTACTATGTAGTATGTGCTTTCAAAATTTATAGAGAACAGAAAACAACCAAAAATAAAGAAATGTTGAAACATTTAGCCTGATACGTTCATTATTTGCCAAATTATCATACACTTTTTGGATGAGATTCCCTGGAGCTGAGTTACGATTTAAACCCGCCTTGTTTATATGACTTTACAATGTCATGAACAGTGGCCTTCAATGAATATAATATTCCAAATGGATTAATATATTGGGAGTGATCCACGCTTGATTGTGCCGGCAAATTTTGCTTTTGGAAGTTCAATATACAACACATTGATTTTTCACACCTTGACTGCAAATCGGCTTTAACTGTGTATCCCTTTTCTCTCTGAATCTATTTTGACATTAAAAGACAAGTACTCTGGATGCATATTATTTATCTCTAGCCGGTTTCAAAATATTTTAGATCTATACCATTTTTTTTTTCAGGGGCAAAACTTTATAGAATGTTGGAAACGGAAACCCCTCCCCCCTTTTGACGTCATTTTCAAGGCCTCATTTGTTTGGACATTCCGTGTAAAATTTACGATAAAATTTCATAGAACTTCCAGAATGCAGTGAAAATTGTATATTTTATGGAACAATTTTGTCCCAACACATACCTGAATTAACGGGATATTTGCATGTCAAATGAGCATATCAGAAGAGTTTTTCTCAGTTACATATAGGTCGCCAAAAACGTCGTTTTCGAGGTTGCGCTGCCTGGACATACCATTGATTACAAAAACATTACTTATTTATTAAAATATGAAATTCATGATTTATGGTTTATTCTTTAGATAGAAAAGATGATGCTAACTAGATGTATTAAAATTCGTTGATGTACCTAAAGCATTTTTGATTTTATGACGCTAGTTCACGAACTTTTTGATAACCTCTCGTATATAAAAACATTGATTTGGAGAATTGATGTTTTCGCTTTTAAGGAATGCCCATACATCGATTGTACAAAGCACTTTCCACTCTCAATGTCAAACATTTTATAAAAACACAGACACAAAATCATTAATGCCTTAACTGACATAAAGTTTCATAAAAACTAACTTAGAATTTATTTCTATTCTTTTTAAGACATTACCAATTTTACACTAGTATTTAAGTTTAACTCAATTTTGCAAAGAATAATCGTAAAACGTGATATCCCAAAAAAGGGGTAGACATGTCCAAAAATCTGTTTTGCTAAATTAATGTGGTGAAGCATAATAAGGTATGTGTTTTGGTTAATCTTAGATATAATTTTAAAGAAAAAAAATGTCATTTAAATAGTTAGATTTTTGACAATTATTTTTTTAAAAAAGGATACTTTCTGATTTTTTTTTTATGAAAGACGTCGTCAAATTCAACATCGATTTATTACTGAATCTCAGTGAAAATTTTAAATATTAATGTTTATAAGTTTAAAAAAAATTGTGATTTTTGGTGCATAACTAAATAAAATATGAGACCATACTTCTTTATTTAAATTTTGGCTGTTGAATTTTGAGAGGTATGTACCGGGTAATCTAAAACATGTTGCATGATAATAAGCCTGCAAAAACTCATCTTTTATGGCTGTTTTACTAGTTTTTAAGTTCTCTAATGTATTGAAACTTTTAACTTACATGTATTAAGTTGACAGATTTTTTTTAAAGTGCGGACCACCCTTAAAAGAATTAATATTTGCTGCTATTTTAACCGTTTATGTGTATCATGGCAATTAAAAGCAAACATTTGACACAAATGCGTATCTTTGACTATAAGAATGTGATTGCAATCTGGCAAAAATCAACCGTGTTAGCACAATTCGTCTAGTGTTCAATATGGGTTTGATATCCGATCTTGTATGACGTTTCCTTTTTTGAATGATATGCATCCAAGGTCGCTCAAAGGCGACCTTTCGTAACGTAAATTGATTTTGTGGATTCAAGTGTTGGAGGTTTTATTTTAAGCAAATGTGCTTTGAACTGTTTAATTTTTTACGTTTAAGACACATTTTAATTATAATTGTAGGTCTTGGATTTATTTTAAGCAGTGCGATAGATTTGCACACCCAGTTGTATTTTCATCGTGTAAAACATGGGGTCGTCAATGAACTTCTGTCCTTACAACATGAACAAATGGTAGCACGATCCCTGCTTGACTGTTCAAGAGCATGTGCTAGAAGCGACATATGTTTTTCGATTGTCTTTAACTCTGAAGATTCTTGCTTCTTACTATCGTGGGGTATATATGAAAATCTTTCGAACCCAGAATTGTCAGAAGAGATTGAGGTATATACAAGGAGTAAGTATTTAACTTTTTTTGTTTTTATTTCTTTGCATGTATTAAATTAATTATTATGCCAAAATAATATGCATTTAAATTTTGTAGTCAAGTATATATCATAAGAGTTATAAGACACATTTAGTGTATAAAGTTATAAAAAAAGACAAACGTATTCACATTGTCTTTGCATTCGTTTTCTCTTTACTTCTGACACTTAAGTTGAACGGAGGTTATTAGGCATTTTGTGTCCATGCAAAGATGTACTTTGCGGAAGTATGTGCACTTTTCACGAAACCATGAAATTGTCAATTTAGACATATCATTTAAAGTTTAAAAGAATCAACATAAACACATAATGTACTTTTTTTCATTTTTAGCAAGTCGTCCATGCTCGGAAATAGGATACCTTGACCTGAGTTCAAGTGGAACATGTTTTAAAGTATTGAGTGCCAAGAAAACACAACCAGACGCTATGAGAGAATGTACAAAAGATGGCGGATATCTAGTTCAGCTCAGAACTGCAGAGAAGCTTAATATGGTTCATAATGTTATAAAGGACATGCCAGGTGAATTATAGCTTATTCCATTTTGTGCGGTTGAGTGTAAAATATCTGCTGGCAAATATACACAATATATATTTTAAAATACTTTAAATCTTATAATAATAGCTGATGCTCACAAAGAGCAATATTTTATTCGACACCAACGTTCAATAGATAAGGCTACATTGGAAAAAAATATTGATAGTGAAAATCTGTTCTGGAAATTAAGTTTTCATCTTCTAATTGACTTGTTTAGATGCATTCTGATTTTTTAAAACCTTTGAAAGCTAATACAATATTTCTTGTTTCCTTTTTCTGAAAACAAATTAATAATCATGTTTAATATCTTATAAAACAATTCCAAACTTTGCATGTACATGTTCAATTAGATTTCTTTTTTTTTTTTTTACATATTATAATATTTTTTTTGAAATACACACATACATATATTTACATAGCGGCTTTGTAGATACAAACTTAATTGCCCATTTTTTCCCAAACATTAACTTGAATGAGGTTCATTCTAAGGATTTTGTATCTTACGGGTAAATCAAATGGCACAATGCTAACAAGAGGCCCATGGACCATAACTCTCACCGGAGCCACGTTGCAGTTGTGCATCAGTTTTTCCCCGCCCAAATATACGTCCCCATACTTATCTAAATTTTTGATCGTCATTTATGGCCGCACCCGGGAAATGATTCGAACAAAATTCAATCTTCACTACTGAAGGAAGCTTCAACATCCCATTTACCCAGTGATGTTTTGTATTAACTTTGGTAAAAATTAGGCGAGTTGTTCTTGAGAAGACGTTGAAAAAAACTGAGAAGTTTACAGACGGAAGTACGGACGGACGTACAAAGGGATGGACGAAGGACAACGGATGATCAGAAAAGCTTACTAGTGAGCTCAGTGAGCTAAAAATAAGAACCACAAAATGAAACATGAAACTATTGATAATGCATAATTACTTATAATTAGACAATACTGAAACTAATAAATCATACTCGGTATTACCAAGGCCTCTATTAACAACTTAGCCTAGCGTGATGGATAGCCGAAAACCAAGCAAAATTATTTTTGTCCAGGAATTTGGTCAATAACTTTGGTATTTTCAATAATAAATGTTTTGTAGTTAACTAAAGTTTGAAATTAAAAAAAAAAATCTCTGAAATAATTGATTATAACATTATTGTTTATATAATTAATGTATATTATAAAAATTATAGATTTCGGATTCTATATTGATGGAAGTGATGCAATAAAAGAAGACGACTGGGTACTATCAGATGGAAGTCCCTTCTACATGAATTGGAACCCAAGAGAGCATGATGCTAGTTTCAAAATGTCGGAACAGTGTCTGCTTTTGCAACCAGATGGAACCTATAATGATATGAACTGTACTTGGCCGTTTCCATTCATTTGTGAAAGGCAAGCAATGCCTTATTTGTAAATAAAAAATATAGTTTTTATTATTTAGAGCAAATAACAACTTTAGCATTACATTTATCCTTTACAATATCTGAACATATTTTGAAAAAAGGTATTTACATATTGGAAGATCGGTTATCCGGACGATAATCCGATTGAGTACTCGGAAACTCTGAAAATCCCCCCCCTCTTATTTTGTTATACCCCCTGCTTGAAATGTGGGAGGATATATAGTAATCGGTATATCTGTCCGTCCGTCTGTCTGTTACGCTTTGGGGTACCCATCTCTTATCGGCAACTCCTCTCATATTACTGAAGGAAATTTAATGAAACTTTCACAGAATCTTTATTACATATTGCCATTGTGCACCTTCTATGTTACTTTTTGATCTAACATATATTTTAGATTTTGCAGACAAAACATGGATACTGCCATTATATTCATATGGGATGCGGGGGTATTATTTAGTGAGCTCATTGCTCACAGTACCTCAGAGCTAGTTTTAAATAAAGACCTTCTTTAAAAAATTCAGCGCTCATGAAAGACTTTCACAGGTAGATGGTGACGTCTCTGTATGAGATAAAAATTCTCTCGAATGGGACTTACAGCAACATACAACCAATCTCAATCAATCTTTCAATCAATCAATCAATCTTTCAAAATTCTCTTTTAAATAGAATTTTTAATAAAAATCTTTAATAACTCGTAATAGATTTACTACATGAAATACTTATATTAGAGCAAAATGTTGAACTTTTATTTAATGCTCAATTTAACAAAATTGATGCAGATATTTTGTGTAAATTAATATCAAGAATTATTGTGGCTTCTAATCTGGTTTTATAGCTAAATATGATTTAAGGATATCCGATTCAGCCAGAAAAAATAACTTCAAAAATTCATATTTAATTTGAAATGCATCAAAATGCAGCTTGAAAATCAAATTTTTTCATGCAAGAATTTTCATTATATTCATCTTTACAAGATTCAAGGTTTTTTGGAGTCTAAGAAAAGGTCTTATAAAAGTTGACATTTGTACCCTATAAAAGGAAAAGAATATATAGTTTTAAAGAAATAAAATTTTCTTGAATCCAGTCTTATATACCAATGTTTCATAATATATGTCATATAATCTGAATATCGAGCATGACACCAAAACTACCAAAACACCATTTGTAAGCATATTCATCTAAAATTATGATGTAGCAATGTATCGGGAAAATTATGATATAACATGAAGTAACGGATGAAATAATCAGTGATGTCATAATTTCAGCTGTTCTTAAGATGGAGTAAAACTTGCAGCAAAAAATTGGTTAACTTTTATTATAAGAAAGATATCCTAAATATCGTACAGGGTGCGATGATGAAAAATATCCAGACCAGAAATTGCTGTCTAGTTTTCATAAATTAAGAATAATTAGAGAGTTTGAACTAATTATAATGTAAAGATTAAAGACATTAAATTCCTGCCCCCTGTAATGTTTAAGTGCAAACGTTTATGATAAACAGAACCGAGCAGTTTGTTTATATTTGCTAATGCTGAACTCTGAATGCTTTAGACATTAATTGCTTTAATCTTTAACTCCATCGCCTCACTGGTCAAATGTTTATACTTTCCCAGGATATCATATTAACTCTGCTATTTTGTATCTTTGTTTATCTATGTATGAATTAGTAATAGATTTGCATCCAAAGCGAAATCATGTGTTGTTCTTACTAGCAACATTACATTGGCGACGAGGATATATAATTTTACATAGTGTTTGAGCGGTTATTAATTTTGACTGAGAAATATCAATAATGGCTACTGGATTTCCTCCATTTCCGAAGTTTGATGTCTCAGATCAAAGTTCAATAGGACAGCGTTGGAAAAAATGGATCCAGCGATTTGAAAATTTCGTCCTTGCTATGGGAATTACTAGGAATGATCGCAAAAGGGCAATGCTCTTACACTATGGAGGAGACGAAGTTTACAACATCTTCGATACTCTTGCAGACACCGGTGGACCAAATGACTATGATGCAGCTAAGACAAAACTGACGGAGCACTTCAACCCAAAGAAAAACCTTGAATTCGAAATATACAAGTTTAGGCAAGCTAAACAACAATCAGGTGAAATAATGGATTCTTATCATACGAGACTGCGACAATTGGCAGAAAACTGTGAGTTCGAAGATGTCGATAGGGAAATAAAGTCACAAGTTATTCAAGGATGTGAGTCAAGTCGTCTGAGACGCAAAGCGCTGCGTGAACCTGACTTAACGCTCCAACAAATCCTAGATTCAGCGAGAGCTATGGAAGTCTCACAACTCCAAGCCTCCGGTATGGAAGACCATAAGAGTCAAGACGTACATCTAAATGCTGCAAACAGGAAAGTGAATTCGTCTAAACAAAGGAAACAAAGAGAACCTACAAGTAAGTGTCGCAATTGTGGAAAGGAATGGCCACATAAAGATAGACCGTGCCCAGCAAAGGACAAAGCGTGTAACAAATGCAAGAAAATCGGACATTTTGCAAAGCAGTGTAGGTCTGGCCAGAAACAGGATACAAGAAATTTCAACCGCACACCCAAATCAAAGAAACCTGGTGTAAACAATTTGGATAATGGCAGTAGTGATGAAGAATATGCTTTTGGATTACAAATATGTGCAACAAAATCTTTGCCTATCGCAAATGTCAAAATAAATGGGATTAAAGTTGACATGCTGGTGGATTCCGGAGCAAGTGTTACTGTCATGGATGAGTCGACGTTTGAAAGAGTAAGTCGCAAGAAACCAATTAAATTGTCAAAATCAAATGCTAAAGTTCATGCTTACGGAACGAAAGCGGCGTTACCAATAAGAGGTAAATTTCGAGCTGAAATAGAATCTAAACTCAGGATTATCGACACTGAAATTCTTGTGGTGAAGAGTGCAAGTGGATGCTTACTTAGCTGCGCTGACGCACAAAAACTTGGACTCATTTCGATTACAATAAATGCTGTAGACCAAAATGAACGTACTGACCAATCCAGTATACTAATGAGATTTGCTGATCGATTTGAGGGGATAGGAAAGCTGAAAGACTTTCAGGTGAAACTTCACATTGACGAAACAGTGAAGCCTGTTGCGCAACCACATCGCAGAATTCCGTTTCACCGACGAAAGGAATTAGAACAAGAGCTAAAGAAACTGGAAGAAATGGACATCATAGAAAAAGTTGATGGACCGACTCCGTGGGTGTCACCAATTTTAGTAGCTCCAAAACCTAAAAATCCTGACCAAGTGAGAGTTTGTATTGACATGAGAAGAGCTAACAAAGCTATACTGAGAGAACGCCATGTCATGCCTACAATCGATGATTTTGTCACTGATTTGAATGGAGCTAAGATATTCTCAAAACTGGACCTAACCAAAGGCTATCACCAACTTGAGTAAGCACCAGAATCGAGATATATCACAACATTTTCATCACATGCTGGACTGTTTCGCTACAAAAGACTTATTTTCGGAGTAAATTCGGCAGCTGAAGTTTTCCAGGCGGTCATCCAACAAACCATTGAAGGAATACCTGGAACACGCAATATAAGTGATGATATTATTGTGTATGGCAAGTCCCAGGAGGAACACGACAATTCGCTACAGTTGCTCTTAACTCGACTGCGGGAACGAAATCTAACGCTCAACAAAGATAAGTGTGAGTTTAACAAAAGAAAGCTTGAATTCTTTGGATTTATTTTCTCTGAAAATGGAATATCAGCTGACCCCAAGAAAGTTGAGGCAATCAAACATGCAGAAAATCCCAAAAATGCATCTGAAATGCGCAGTTTCCTTGGCATGGCTAATTACTGTGCACGATTCATCAAGGACTTCGCCACAATATCACAACCTCTACGTGAACTGACCAAAAAGAATCAACGATGGACATGGGAAAAGAAACATGAACAGGCGATGCAGAATATCAAGGACGCTTTGACCAGTAGTGCAGTTATATCTTATTTTGACCCTTCAAGGCGAACAGAAGTCATTGTTGACGCAAGTCCCGTCGGACTAGGAGCTATCCTTACTCAAATTGATGGAAATGGCGACCGGAGAGTTATTTCCTATGGAAGTAAAACGCTTTCTCCAGTGGAACAACGATACTCTCAGACAGAACGAGAAGGCCTTGCAATTGTCTGGAGTTGCGAACATTTTCACCTTTATCTTCTTGGAAACACATTTGAACTTGTGACAGATCATAAACCATTGGAATTAATATTTGGAAACCCTGCATCAAAACCACCTGCCAGAATTGAGAGATGGGCATTGAGACTACAGCCGTATGATTTCCACATAAAGTATAAACCTGGAAAGTTCAACCCAAGTGACTATATCTCACGTCACCCAATTCGTCAAGGAAATGATAAATCATTCTCTGTTGAAAATTGCATCAATTTTGTAGTCCATCCCGAAATCAATGACTCTGGATGAAATTCAGAAAGCTTCTGACAACGATGTACTGATACGAGATATTCGAGATGCAGTGAGGAGTGGATCATGGACTGTTTTCAAGAAATCAACAAGACCAGACTGGCAATCTGTCTATAAGTTGAAGGATGAATTGACTGTTTCAGATACCGGGATAGTTCTCCGAAAAGACAGACTGTTTGTTCCACACTCACTCAGAAAACACGTTATAAATTTAGCACACGAAGGACATCAAGGTATCGTAAAAACGAAGTCGTTGCTAAGGGAAAAAGTTTGGTTTCCGGGCATTGATAAACAAGTTGAGTCGACACTAAAGAACTGTTTACCTTGCCAAGTTACGACAGAAACAAAACATCTCGAGCCATTGAAGATGTCACCTTCACCAAGTGGACCCTGGACTGAATTGTCAATGGATTTTTGTGGACCATTTCCCTCGGGAGATTATCTCATGGTTGTTATGGATGAGTACTCCAGATATCCGATTGTGGATTTTCTTAAGTCTACGTCAGTAAAAGCTGTTATTCCTAAGTTAGACAAAATATTTGCGGAATTTGGAATACCAAAAGTTCTGA